TATTAGTTCACCATATTTTCAGACCATAACATGTAAATTCCATAGAATAGTTGACATTGTGTAGAACAGTTGCTTGTTGTTGATAAACAGTTGATTGTTTTTATCTGTACAGGTTTGTAGATGCTGTTTTCATGGAGATCCCTGCCGCCTCATGTGGCAGTGGGAAGATGTGCCTCTACAATTCAAGCTAGTGTGCAACGATTTGTTCCTGCAAGTGGCTCAATTGACTCCAATGCTTTAGAACAACTCCAGGCCTTTGTGTCGCATGCTTCTCGTTTGTTTGTGATAAGTGGTGCCGGACTCTCCACTGAATCTGGAATTCCAGACTATAGATCAGAAGGTGTGGGACTTTACGCACGGACTGACAGGCGGCCTATGCAACACTCAGAGTTTGTGCGCAGTGCGAAATCGAGGCAGCGATACTGGGCACGGAACTACGTGGGGTGGCCGCAGTTCTCCTCACACCAGCCGAATCCAGCGCATTTCTCATTGCGGGACTGGGAGGAAAAGGGAAAACTGCTCTGGCTCGTCACTCAGAATGTAGATGCATTACACTCAAAGGCTGGACAACAGAGACTAACTGAACTTCATGGATCTACACATAGGTAAGGCAGGACTTGCTTGAAGATCATTGATTATGGAGTTAAAGAATCTGTGCAGTGTAAGAGGAAAAATATTTTATGTGATTTTGTCCTGCTCTTAGGGTTGTGTGTTTGGACTGCGGGCAGCTGACTCCACGTGCTGAGCTTCAGAAGCGTTTTGCAGCTCTAAACCCTGGCTGGGCAGCAAGTGCAGGTGCTGTGGCCCCAGATGGAGATGTGTTTCTGGAAGACGAGCAGGTGCTGAACTTCACAGTACCTGCTTGTGATGCCTGTGGCGGTGTGCTTAAACCTGAGGTGACGTTCTTTGGTGACGTAGTGAACCGGACTACAGTTAACTTTGTGCATAACAAGCTGGCTGAATCTGATGCTGTGCTTGTGGCTGGATCTTCTCTTCAGGTGAGTCATGTTTCATCAATATCACTTTAAAAACATTTCCTGTTCACGTAGACCAGGGTTACTCATTACTACTCACTGGCTGCCATCTCCTGGTGTAATGATGTATCATACAGATACGCTGAACAAATTATTGTTCATTCAAAGTTTTTAGGTAAAATAAACATAATGCAAAAGATCAATACCTCAATTTACAGAATTGTACATATTCACACATTCTTGGTTAGTTAGCTAAGTGCAATTAAGAATACAGCATTGGCAAGATGGACTTAAGATGAAATACTTTATATTAAATATTTTTAAATTATAAAGGTGCATTTCCCATCTAGAATTTATTCTCTAAAAAGTTGCTGAGCTCCTCATAAATCAATGTGGGAAACATTTATGGTAATGATGAAATTCTAATTAAAGTTTTGGATTTAAAAGATTTTAATCAAAATCCCCATGGTTATTATAGTTAACTAAAACCAAGCCACAGAAAAAAAATTATGCTTGAAATAAAATAAATGTTAACTGGAATTTTTAAAAAAAAAAGTGAACTAGTTAAAACTAGTTGCCAAGGTAATATTTTAAGATTGTTTCCGCCATTAAATAAAAAATGAGCAAAAAAGGTCATTCTTAGTTTAGATCTCACAATTTTTTCAACTCAACTTTTTTGTCTCAGAATATAAACTGTATATGAGACAAAGAACCTATATATATATATTCTTTGGCAGGAACAAGCTTTCATACATTTCTAATTTTCATTTGGTTTAACGTGATGTACTAAAATAACTGAAACTAAAGCTGAAATAAAAACTATATAGAAACAACAAAACTAAAACTAATGACATTTACAAAAACAAACAACAAAATTACCCAAAGTGTAAAAATAACTAAAGTTAAAATAACTAACATTAAATGAAGTCATTATAATAGTAAAATTATTCAAATTAAAATGGAAAATAAAAATGAATTAGAAAAATTGTACTATGTATAATACTATAATAATATTTACTATAATAGCAAAAGTATCTCAGTAATAATAAAATAACATTGATCCCCACAAATAGTCACAACCCTATTCCAGTGTCTTGTAATCTTCAAGTAAACCAAAGACCTTGAGTAGTTGGTTCAGGTGTGTTTTGCTAGAGTTTGAACTAGTTAATGAGTATCCCTGGCCTAGATAATGCAAAGAATTTTTCCTCATTGACTCGATACTTTCTCAAGATATTTGGAAAAAGGTGAAGGAATTTGTTTTCCTTTTCAGGTTTTTTCGGGGTACCGCTTTCTCCTTGCTGCTAGTGAAAGAAAGCTTCCAATAGCCATCGTGAATATAGGACCCACTAGAGCTGATCATCTTACTGGCATCAGGGTGAGTGTGCGCTGTGGAGAAGTGCTGCCGGCCATTCAGCTCTGAGAAATAAGAAACTCTGAGACTCTTGAAGCTATTCTGAACCTAAGCACTCGACTCATCACAGGATTACTGGAACATAGATTTGGTTTGGTTGTAGGCTGCTTGCATAATAACTAATAACTGATCAGTTAGTTATATAACCTAACCCTAACCCTAATAACTGATCTCTACCTCAAGTTACGGAATTGCTTTAACATATACACACATTCATCAGCTAGAGTTTGAAGTGCAATACAGAATACAGCATTGGCACTAAAGAGTTGTTTAAATACTTTAAAATTATAAAGTAGGTTCATAGGGATAACTGCATTTCCCATCCAGAATTCACTCTCTGAAAAAATAGAGCTTCTTAAGGATCAGCATGGGAAATAGTCATAATAATGCTGCAATTCTAAACAAGCTATATGGATTATGACTCTTTTATTTACTAATAAACATTTGGTTAATGATGAATGACTATTTAAATATGTATTTTTGAATATGTGAATGTACTAGGATGTTTTTAAAATGCATTGGAACACATAAAAAATGTACATGTTAATCATTTATTTGTTCTGCCTGACAATACAAGTCATGTTAATTGTATTTAGTGCTTTTCACAATACACAGTTTCAAAGTAGTTTTACAGAAAATCATGGTGTAAATGTTTCTAATATCTTAATATCTTCATGCCTTATAGTTGCATTGAGCAGTTTAGAACTAGCCAACAATATAGTTTACATTTTTCAACAATATAAACCATCAAGCAGTTGAGATCTGTATAAAAAATGTACATGTTAATCATTTATTTGTTCTGCCTGACAATACAAGTCATGTTAATTGTATTTAGTGCTTTTCACAATACACATTGTTTCAAAGTAGTTTTACAGAAAATCATGGTGTAAATGTTTCTAATATCTTAATATCTTCATGCCTTATAGTTGCATTGAGCAGTTTAGAACTAGCCAACAATATAGTTTACATTTTTCAACAATATAAACCATCAAGCAGTTGAGATCTGTTATATATATATATATATCACTTTACATGAGTATAATGTATGTAACTAATGTAGATATAAAGGATTTTGTAAAGGACTTTGTTTTTGAATTTGTAGGATATTTTTGGGGATAAAAGGGAAACCTTGGAGTCTAAAAGGTTGAGATTCACTGCCTGAATTTATTATATGCACAAATTATTATATGTTGCTTTGGTAAGAAATCTATGAAGAGCATAAATGATACTGAAAATAGGTGATGCATATCTGAGAAAACACACTTAATAATAAACAAGAAACATACATCAGGTTTATTCAAAGGGTCACAGAGGGCAAAGTGACAGTATCTCTCGAAAAGCAGAGATCAGTCAGAACTGGCTGTTTGTTAAATCTCTCTCTCACGTGCACAGTCCACCGTTGTACATGACTTTGTACTTCCGACCAGAGCTCTTTTGGAACACTAAATGAGTAAAGACAACAGCGATGATTTCTGTCATCTATCTGCCATTTGACCCAAACCGTGCTCACCACCAGTGGTGTCATACACAGACAGTTCCCAAATCCTTTAGTTTGGTCAAACCAGTATGAGGCTGGATAACCTAACAGGATTCCAAAAAGAGTGCACAAGTTCCAGTCATTATACAACTCCTCTCCCAACACAATCACTGAGGAGCCTTTCTCCAGCTCACTCATGAAGAATTCTGAAAGAGTTTTGATCATATCCTCGGTTGTCTTTTCAAAGCCAACCAAGACAGGTTGTTTTATTGAGGGACATATGTCAATCAGAAGGAGACTTTTGCTTTGGAGAAGATCATCCAAGTGGGACTCAATAGTGGCAGGATTAAAAATGAATGCGTTTTCATCAATGGACAGAATCCGTAGAGGATTGGTTACAACTCCAGACTCCTGTAGAGATCTGAGGTACACCTGAAGCTGCTCTGGAGATGCTGCATTACTGTCGTAAAGCAGCGCGGGTTTGACGCCCAGATCCACAGCCATTATTTGAACAGTCACATCAAGACATGTGGAAGGAGATAAACGTTTCTTACGAGGACACAATAACTTCTGTGCGGCAGAGATGAGCATTTCTGATGAAGCAACCATTGCACCCGTTTACAAACACAAATATAAAATATTTGTTGACAGCAGGACACACAAATTGATTGTAAAAGTTGTTGAACACTTAATTAATAAAGGCTCACGTTCCAGCATTTGGTCAGGTATATCGTAGTGGTGTTAGACGTTTTTATCGACTCGGTATTTTAACGAAACGAACGAATGATTCAGTGAATTGTTCATTTCACAAAAAAAGGTTCACATAGATTCGCATTCGCATGGAGCAGAAAGGGCCACTGAAAGAATCGCGATTCGAAAGATTCGAGTCATTGAGGTGAATCAAAATTCCTGTAACTTCCTGTTAAAGTTGTAACAAGTTAAAAGTGCTTCAATGTACAGAAATTTAACCAATTTAATTGAACATATATTTTTGTTTCAGTGTAGAATGTTATGAACATTTTGAATAATTATGAAATGACACGAGCCGACCAGTTTCCTCCAAAAAGTTAGTTTAGAAACGCCACTGAGATATAAGCACTTTTAATTTGAAATGGTATCACGGAAGTATATCCTATTTGACAACTCGTACAGTTGTTAAATACCAAATGGCAAATCTATTAGGAGACCACTGCAGTACAGTGTCATAGTATAATATCTGTATAATGAAACGAAGGTAACGTTTATTTTCCACCGGCGAATCTCGGTGATTTTATTGATAGTGAGTTTAAATAGTCAGTTGAGTTAAAAAGTAAAGTTCACAATGGGCTCAGAGGATGTGCTCAAGAGTGCTTCAACACTAGCCTCTTACAGTGTTCTGCTTCAGGTACTGTCACACACACTCTACTACTGTACACACACCAAATACACCTTTATTAGAAACATATAGTAAAACAGTATGTTGATATGTTTTATGCTGCAGGTGATGTTTCGAGTGTTGACGTTTCTCTTGAACGCATTTACTTTACGGTTTGTGTCTAAGGAGCTGATAGGTGTGGTAAATGTCAGGTGGGTTTAAAGTTACACATCATCTGGAACATTCGTTTCCATTGGCCACTAACTGCAACGTTTGCTTTTGTTATAGGTTGATGCTGCTCTATTCCACATTGGTGTTTTTGTCTAGGGAGGCGTTCCGGAGGGCGTGTCTAAGCGGCGAAGGGGCGGGGCGTAACTGGAGGCAGGTTATCAACCTGTTATGGCTCACGTAAGTAGAAATACCTGTAGGTTTATTAACCAAAATGTTCTTACCTCTGGAACCAACACACTTAAAAAGGGGAAATGCACTAATGAACTCTTGAATGATTGCAATCAAAGATTGACAGGGAATAAGTAAATCTATCATATCTGAAATTTCAAGGAATAGTTCACCTAAAATGAAAATGTTTTGTGTTTCTTCTCAAACTCTTAGATTTCCTGTGGGTTGTGTGTGGGGTGTGTTGTTGGTGTGTGTGTGGTGGTGGCTGCTCCAGGCACCTGATCCAGAGTCCATCCCACATTATGTTCCTGCTGTTGGATTGTTCTGCTTGGCTGCGCTAACAGAGCTGCTGGCTGAACCTCTCTGGGTTCTTGCACATGCACACATGTTCGTCCGTTTGAAGGTGTCACAATCTGCCTTTCATACTTTATTTTACTCTTGATAGAATCATTGTAGATCGAATAAAGTGAAACTGTCTGACCAAATGACATATATTCACAGGTGATTGCCGAAAGCTTAGCCATGATCGCTAAATGTCTTGTTACTGTAGTGATGGTGGTCTCAGCACCTCAATGGGGGCTCTATATCTTTTCTGCAGCCCAGGTATATATATATATTTGTTTATACACTGGACAATTACAACATATATAGTTTTTGGTTGCCTTCTGGTTTCTAATCTTGATTCTGTGTTTTCATTTCACAGTGTGTCTATGCAGGGTTTTTGCTGCTTTGTTATGTGTTATACTTCGTTCGTTTCCTTGGCTCAGAAGAAGCAGAGAAGAAATTGTTCCCGGTTAGTCACATAAAAGACCTTCTGCCATCTGGAGTGGATCATGAGGTGACTTATTTTCTAATACGACACCACAATGCTCTGTTGTATACCCCTTTTATTTCAGTGAAACAACTACACTATATGCTTGTTTTTTAGCCACTACTAAATTGGAAGTTGACCACACTAACCTGGAGCTTTTTCAAACAGTCATTTCTCAAACAGATACTTACAGAAGGTAAAAATCATGCTCTTTTTTTCTGAATGTTGACATCTTTCCAATAAATTTTTCATTTTGATTTTATAGGCGAGCGTTATGTGATGACATTTTTGAATGTGCTTAACTTTGGCGATCAGGGTGAGTTTGTACATTCATATACACAAACTATTATATGCAAACAATATAGTCATATTATACTTATTTTCCATTTACAGGAGTTTATGATATAATAAACAATCTGGGCTCAATGGTAGCAAGATTTCTTTTTTTGCCCATTGAGGAGAGTTTCTATGTGTTCTTCGCTAAAGTCCTGGAGCGTGGACGAGATGTACAACATCAAAAACAAGTCGGTGTCTGTTTATGTGCCTAACTTTATCTAGTGCAGCCAGCCAGATGTGGGGTTGGATAACTGTAAAATGCTGATTGGTCCACAGGAGGAAGTTTCCATGGCAGCTGAAGTACTGGAATGTCTTTTGAAGCTGGTGCTTTTGATTGGTCTGATCATCACAGTTTTTGGTTATGCATATTCTCATCTGGCACTTGACATCTACGGCGGGGAACTTCTGAGCAGCGGAGCCGGTAAAACACAAATACGCTTACTAACTTTTCAGTTCAGATGAGTATATTTTTATTTGTGTCTGTTTGCCGTAAAGATTTAAATGGTTTGTTTGTTTTTTGCAGGGCCATCTCTCCTGCGGTGTTATAGTTGTTATGTTCTGCTGTTAGCCATTAATGGAGTAACAGAGTGTTTTGTTTTTGCTGCCATGAGCAAAGAGGAGGTTGACAGGTGAACAACATAATTGCTATACTGTATATATACACTACCATTCAAACATTTGGGGTCTGTAAGATTTTGTAATGTTTTTGAAAGACTTGTTTTATGTTCTCCAAGACTTAATTTATTTGATCAAATATACACTAACAACAGTAACATTGTGAAATATTATTACAGTTTAAAATAACTGTTTTCTATGTTAATATATTTTGAAGTGTCATTTATTCCTGTAATGGCAAAGATGAATTTTCAGCATCATTACTCCAGTCTTCAGTGTCACATGATCTATCAGAAATCATTCTAATATGCTGATTTGGTGCTCAAGTAACATTTCTTCTTATTATAACAGTTGAAACCAGTTGTGCTGCATAATATTTTTGTGGAAACCATGATGCATTTTTTAAGGATTCTTCTTAAAAACACATTTATTTGAAGAACAGCATTTGTTTAATACAAATTGGTGTAAGGTCTTCACATTCACTTTAGATTAATTTAATGCGTCCTTGCATAATAAAAGTATTAATTTCTTTAAAAAAATCTTACTGACCCCAAACTTTTAAACTAGTGTGTGTGTGTGTGTGTATGTATGTATATATATATATATATATATATATATATATATATATATATATATATATATGCAATATAAAATGTATTTACAAATAGTTTTTCAAGACAAACATGTATTTAAGGTTTTTTAAGAAATTGTTTAATAGATTTTTTTTTTCTTTCTTTTTAGATATAATCTAGTGATGCTGGGCCTGTCAGCCTCATTTCTTCTCCTTTCTTATTGGCTAACGTGGATGTTAGGGGCCATTGGCTTCATTTTGGCTAATTGCTGTAACATGGCTCTACGAATCACTCACAGTATTGTTTACATACATCGCTATTTCCTGCAAAGTGAATACACACCCCTGTGGGGGCTCCGCCCACATTCTGCTGTCGTCATTGCACTTGGCGTGAGCTCCATCCTCACAACCTGCTCAGAGGTATCATGCAAGTGCCTTATTGTTTACAAATATTAATAAGTTGTGATGAGCAAATTTAAATGTTTTGTGACCGTTTTGTCTTTCAGAGCATGTTCTGCTGTGACGGTGGCTGGTTGCTAAGGCTGATTCATGTTGCCGTGGGGGCGGTTTGTCTCCTGGGTGTGGTCATCACAGTATTTCTGACAGAAACAAGACTTGTGCAGTTTGTCAGGACTCAGTTGTTACCCAAATACAGCAAGAAAAGTACATGAGCTTTTACTCTGAAAGCAGCTAATGCCTCAACCTTACTGAGGTTCAGCTGACACTAACATGTCATGGACCAGATTTGAATACTGTGTGTGATTTTTTTTTTCACAAACATACTTTGTTTTCTTGACATTTTTTCCATTTTTACTCCAGAAGATGCAGTACCTCTATGTTCAGTTTTTGCTTATGACATCAAAAGTAGCTGACGGTTTGAAGGTTAGTAATTCCTACAGGACGTACCTTATAGAATATTTTATTGATTGATTACAAAACAAACACAGAGAATATTGCAACGTAATGCAAAGATATCAAGGGGTCCCCCAGCATGTAACTACTGCTCCAATGTGCTTGTCATTCCTTAAGATTGTTCATTTTTGAACATTAATGCTTGTCATTAGACATACGGAAGGTGTTCATTGACAATTTGCACAACGTTACTGCTAGATATATACTGTAGCTGTGTAAATCAGTGGTGAACTTTGTACGAATGATTGATTGTATAAAATGGTTATATATAATACATTTAAATGGTACTGGGTACTGTTGTCTTTAAAAACAGGTAAGATGAGACTGAAAAATATTATCTGTTATTCTAATATCTGGGAACAAATAAACCTTTTTTTCCTGACTGTACTGATTTCCAATTTTAATTTCCAAACATTACTGTTCAAATTTTTGGGATCAGCAAGTTTTTTTCTTTTTTTTTAAATGGAGCAAAAGTGACAGTAAAGACTTTTACATTATTAGAAAAGATTTATATTTTAAATAAATGCTGTTCTTTTGAACTTTCTATTCATCAAAGAATCTTAATAATATGTATCAGAATCTTTAAAATATGTATCACAGTGAAATAGTTTTGAATGAAAATGCAGCTTTGTGATTACATAATATTTTAAAACAAATATTTAAATATAAAAATATAAACATTTTATTACGGTTTTTGATGTATTTTTGATCAAATAAATGCAGCCTCGGTGAGCATAAGAGACTTTGAAAAACGTTTGCACTTTTGTACATGGATAGAAACAGATTCTAGCATGAAGCTATCTGAAATGTTTCCTGAGTTTGCAAACCAGTGAAAATGACTAAGAAAGTAAAAACATTAGGACGGAGAGATTCAAGAATGGCAGAACATTATAAGTAATTTCTAAGTAGCTCTGCTTAAAAAGCATGTCATTTCAATGGAATACGGAAGAGAGACAAATTAACATTCACAAACAATCACTTAGCAACACACAAAAGAACAAACACAACAGTGTTCAAATAAGCACTTGCAGTCATCTAAAAGTACTCCAACATGAAGAATAAAGCAGATACAAGGCACAAACCATAAACTGTTTTCATTTCTGAACTGCTGGAACTAATTGGAGTACCAAAGATGTCATCTTTAAATATGCATGAGTATATCCCTACAGGAACAGTGACTGAGATTAAATGGGAGGAGGAACAGTGTTACTCATGCTTTGGCCAAAGGAATTATGGCCCATTTGGGAATGGATTCTGCAAGGGAAGGGTGTGTGTGTGTGTGTGTGTGTGTGTGTGTGTGTGTGTATGTTCATAAATGCACATACGACCAGTATAAAACAGAAACTTCAGCAAGACTGTAGGACTTCACTAATTTTGAGAGTTCACCATGTCTCAAGTAAGAGAAGATGAAACCGAAGAACTGAAGATAGGTTATTCTTGTCATTCATTTTTCTATTTCTCTTCAGCAGAGTGAAGAAGAGGAAGTTAAGAGGCCTGAGGTAAAAGTGAAGGATTTGATTGGAGCCAGGGATAAACTGGCGTCTGGAACAGAGGTGAAGAGCAAGACCTTTGAAGTGATGCAGGAATGTGGTGAGTCGAGCTGCAGCTGATCAGCAGAAACCGCAATAATTCTGTTAGAAGGTTGTGTGTGATATTAAAATGTCACTGAATCCAAGTGTCCTTGTTTTTTGACTTTAAGCCAAGAGGAAAAAAGAAGAGCTGTGTTTTTGTGTCTGGTTTTTATATTTCCACTCCATATGTAGCAGGATCAATGTCAGAACACACAAACACAGGGGAAGACACTCTTCTACTAATCACTTTTATTATGTGATGTTTAAGTCTAACGTGTCTTATGTTTATATTGACTAAGTTGTGTTCTAGCCTTTTTCATTTATCACCATTTTACAAATATACTATCAATGTTCCCTTAAATAAATAAAAAATGTCACCAGTAAGTTATCAGACTATTAAAAGATTGTGTACACCACTAAGAATGTGAAATTTGTATTTGACCTGTTTTATTAACATCTTAGTTCAAATCTAGTTTGTATTTTGTCAATTCAAGCACATATAATTTAAATAAATGGAGCACTTTGTATTGAGGTGGCTGAAATTCAAATGTGTCAGATGACGTAGCTTGTATTTTTGTGTGTTCTGATTCTTTTCTTTCTGTCTCTGCTGTTAGAACGAGCTGGGAAGGTCGCGCCATCCATCTTCAGCAAAGCTCGCTCAGGATCTGAGACTGCCTTTAACAAACCCAGCAAGAAAAAGTAACACTATGGACCCATTATTTCATACAGCTAAAACATGTATTTATAAATGATCTAACAACTTAAATTTTAGTTTGAACACTGTAACCATTCAACAGCACAGCTAAACGATATTAATAGTTAGACTGATCTTATGTACCTCAATGTAATTTGTAATATTTCTTAACTTTTTTCCTGAATTAAAAAAGGCTGTAAACAATTAAAACGGAATACCTTTTTTTTCTTCTTAAATATCCCACAATGCTAGTTTTAAGTTTTAATGGAAAATAAATAAATACATGAATACATAATTTGTTGGTTTAGTTTTAAATTGAAAAGAAGCATTTGTTTTTGTGTGAAAATGAAATGTGTCATTAAAAAGGTCCCATTTTTATTTCACATTACTATCAAAAAAAATATTTATTTTCAAAACAAAACAAAATTGAACAGCAGACAGGACAATGGAAAACGTATCCTACAGAAGAATAACAAAAAGTGTGGGATGAAACTAAAGAAATTAGGTTGTCTAAGCATGTTAATTATGGAGAGAATGTTTTCTTTACTGTTCTTCTGACTAACAACAACTGACAAAATTAGGTAGAACAATACATTAACCATGCACTGATGTTGAACTAGCTTAAAACAGCTGTCATACTGATATAATGTCATGACAAATGTGAACTAAACCAGTAAAGCAGACCATACAAAGAATGTGAGAGAGAGTGCTGGAGTTATTTCATAAATTTGGTGTGCTGATCTTGCAGGATTTTTGCAGAGGACTTTGCATCATAGAAGAGTTCATTAATTTCTTCTACTTGTTCCTTTTCGACTACTTCCCTCCCCTGAACTCGTGCCAGCAGACTGGCAGGGGTCAGCAGCTGCGCTGCATATCTGCATTCACACAAACACACACATTAGCCAAAATAACCAAATCGCAGAAATGATAAATTCATGATAATGAAAAACTGAGAATGCCATTAGCAAGACATAAATAATTATGACAAATCTAAATCAATAGGATATGTTTTTAAAAATGTAGTAATCAGTGTTACCTGAGTGTAGTCTTGGTACCGATGTCGCCAAGATGAGATAAAGCCCCCTCGCCGATGTTGATTCCTTCAGTCTGAGCTCGGATCTTTATGATCTATAGCAATGTGCAAATTAAACAACAGCATGTAATGTCTACTTCATCTTTCAGAATGTAATAAAAGATGTAAGAAGCAACTTGTTTTGATGCAAAAGTTTATGCACACCTGTTTCATTTCTTGAGGAGTGTACAGCATAGTTCTGATAATCATGACTCGATCCAGCAGATCCAGTGGAATACCGTGAGGAGAGCTGAAGTCTTCAGTCCCCCTAAAACATCATTATGCATAACTGTAAACTGTACAACCAATCAGATCACTCTAACAGCTGGTCACAGCAAACTTCAAATTAATTCCAATATTGGTTAGGTTCATTCAAATAGAATCAGATATGCTCATATTCACAAACATTAATGAACTGGATATGAACTAACAATGAACAATATTGCAACATTTATTAATCTAGAATAATGTTAATTTGTACAAATACATTATGAATTACCATAAATTAACAATGAACAAAAATGTTTAACACTTTACAAAAAGGTTCCATTTGTTAACTACATTAGTTAAAGGTGACATATCATGAAAATCTGACTTCTCCAGGTTTTAAGTGCTATAATCAGGTCCCCAGTGCATCTACCAACCAAGGAAACGTGAAAAAGATTAACTCAGTAACTTGGTGACGTGGCAAAGGGATCTCATTATAATATTACCGCCCCTTAATCTAAGTTTCCACCCATGGCGCCGTCATTTTGATTTCGCAAGCGACAACAGTGTACCAATTCTAATGCCATGGCGAAGGTTTGAGCAAAACATGCTAACTGTTCTGTCTTTGGCTGCACAGACGAGCACAAAACACTATTTAGAATCCCAGCCTCAGAGAAGACAAGAGAGCAGTGGATTTACTGAATGTTGCTGCTGCCAAACAGATCTAAAATAAACATGCAATTTATTTACTGTATATTGCTGCTGCCACACAGATCTAAAATAAACATGCGATTTATTTCCCAGCTGTTTAGCTTCACAGACATAACCGATTGTTTTTGTAACTTGCGTGTTTAAACTTGATTATAATATTACCGCCCCTTAATCTAAGTTTCCACCCATGGCGCCGTCATTTTGATTTCGCAAGCGACAACAGTGTACCAATTCTAATGCCATGGCGAAGGTTTGAGCAAAACATGCTAACTGTTCTGTCTTTGGCTGCACAGACGAGCACAAAACACTATTTAGAATCCCAGCCTCAGAGAAGACAAGAGAGCAGTGGATTTACTGATTTATTTACTGTATGTTGCTGCTGCCAAACAGATCTAAAATAAACATGCGATTTATTTCCCAGCTGTTTAGCTTCACAGACATAACCGATTGTTTTTGTAACTTGCGTGTTTAAACTTGTGTGTGAATGAGAACTTTAGTACTCACATATTGTGACAGCCGCTTTCTGTCCGTGTGCACTCAGAAAACCATATTTCAGAAGTTTAAACTAATATGGTTTAAAATGCATGATTTCAGCACGATAAACATGATAATCAGAAACAAAACATGTGTTTTTAGCAGGTACCAGCTGTAATTTAACAGTAAAATAGCAGCTCATTTGCATTTAAAGAGACTCTAAGAAACGCTAAGAAACAGAGTGTTTCTGCTTCCAAAGCTTCTCAAAATAGGCATTTTCAAAATGATATAATAAATGATCTGTGCAGTATTTTGAGCTGAAACTTCACAGACACATTCTGGGGACACCAGAGACTTATATTACATATTGTAAAAAGGGGCATAATATGTCTCCTTTAACATGAACTAACATATGAAAAAAAGCATTTGTTATTCTTAATTTTAACATTCACTAATACATTAAAATCAAACATTGTTCCTATTATTTAAGCACTAACAATGACCAGCTGTATTTCTATTAACTAGCATTAACCATGTTAACTAATTTAACCTGTAAAATTGTTACCAAAATATCCTACAATTATACTAAATATAAAACTGCGACAAAGCTAAGTTAATTTACTACGTTTCCCACTGTATCAAAA